TTGTTTGGGAAAAAAAGTCTCGCGAAGTAACCGACAGGCGGGATTCGCCTTTGGCTGCTGAACTGTGCTAATCCTGCCCGGCTGAGCAGCTGCAATGGGTGTTAGAACAGGCTTTTGAAAGTAGCCAGCGCTGTGTGCTTAGCAGGGCTGCGTTTGGGGAACGCTCCCCAAGAAAGGCAGGTCTTTCAGCAGCCTCAGGTCCTTTCCACTGCACTTATCTGAGAGGTGTCTTCTAAATTACTTAACTGTAGATGTGACTGTGCTGTACCTGCTTTCTTCTCCTCTGGGGCAGTTCACCCTGTCGAAATGCATCGATGCAGCGATGGTGCTGGGGAACTCCCACCTCATCATGAACCGCCCCAACAGGCTGGCGGTGCTGGCCAGTCACACGCAGGAGAGGTACGGCTGCTCCTCACCGGGGCACAGCTCTTTGTGCCCTGTGTCCTCTGCTTTCCTTGAAAAATATCATTGAAACCAGGTTGAAAATGTGTAATTGTCTTAAAACCAGAAGTTAACTAGACCTGTGTAGGAAAAAATTATTTTAGTGCCTTACACAAAGCAACAAAGGGGCTGTCAAGACAAAAAGGGAAGAAGTAGAAGTAGAAATTTACTTAAAAATATGTATTAAAAGGGAGAGAGAACATGGTAGAGATGTGGTGAGCAGGTCAGTGCAAGTGGCGGAAGTTTCCTGTTTAGTGATTATTTTTCCTTCAGGTATTTGTGAGTCTCAGGTCTGCCCTGAAGAAGTTTCCTGTTTAGTGATCAGGTATTTGTGAGTCTCAGGTCTGCCCTGAGCCCGGGCACAGTGTCTGTTTGTCAGTTATTTTAAGGAATGTCTTGAAAGGGAGAAGGTGAATGTGGGGTTTACTCCATTTTGGCTTTGGGGATTTCCTGCCTTATGTAGTCTCTTTAATGTCTGAGGTATTGCAATTATTTGCTTTCCACACCTGGTTAGTTCATTGCTTCTCTTCTTAAAAGGTTAAAGGAAAAGTGTTACTACTTTTATTTTTCTTCCCCATTTCAGCCGTTTCTTGTACCCTGGGAAGGGCTGGACTTCTGCAGATCTCCTTGGAGATGGTAGTAGCTCCATAGAATCTAATTGCTCTGGCAGCAAGGATGGAAAATATGAATTGTTAACAGCAATAAATGATGCAATTGCAGAAGAAATTAAAGACCTCATGACAAAAAGTAAGGGAAAGAAAACTCTAGGCTTAATATGCAGAGTTGCAAAACACTTGGACTCTCAAGAACTTGTAGGAATTTCCTTCAGTTTGTTTGTGTGAATTTAATTATGTTCAAAGTAGATTCATTTTAATATGTTTGATGCTTAAGGCCCCTGCATTAATATTATTTGCCAAAGATAAAACTTGTAGTATTTTGTATGATTTGGCTCAGCTTGGGTTTTTACAGCTGGAAGTAACTTGCAATTTCTCTTGTGTTGCAGCTGACATGAGGGGCCAGCAAACAGAAACTCTCTTAGCAGGGTCACTTGCCAAAGCACTTTGTTGTATCCTTTTGATCATGGAATCTTCAAAGCCTTTATTTTTAAGGCTATTTCATATGATAATAGTGCTTTAATGTAAGTTTTACTATTCCTGTTCTGTAACAGTATTCAAAATTGAAATGTGTGCCTCATAACTGTGGGTCATGGGTACTGTGGGTCATGGGTACTGTGGTGAGTATGTGGGGTGGATACTGGAGTTATTTCCAAGAACAGAATCTAGATTCCTTAATGTCAACTCATATAGATATCAACAAGGTGAGCAAAGAGGTAAAAGGTAAGGCCTCTGCTCCTGTTTTGTGTACTTACATAAATATTTAATCAGAATAACTGGTATAAATGCATATGTGCATACCAACAAATGCATATGTTTTGTCACCCCTCATTTCCCAAATTGGCAATAATAGGTAGAGATTTATTCTGGCCATTTGAAGTTGCCCAGTTTAAACTAGATCTGAGTGGCAATTAGAAATAAAGGATTTGATCATTAGTGCACATTCTTATTCTGATTTTCTGTTGCCTGCAAACAAGTAAAACTGAAACTGGAATCTCCTCAGAACAACTGGAGGTTGGGAGGAACTTTTTGAAAGTCACAAAATGCCCAAATCCTGTTCCAAAGGAACCACCTGCAGAGCTGTGATGATAGTTAATTACTTACCATTTTTTGTCTTCTTCTTGTGACTTCTATAACCAGGAAAAGTGCTGTTTGTGCAGCTAGTTTTGAAAGGGGCATATTGGACTAGAATCACCTTTGCATTTCAGGTTGCTCTAATCAAGGAGAAATGCCATTTAACCTGAGAGGCTGTTTCAGACATTGGGCTGGTGATGAACAGCTTTGAGCATTTCTGTCCTGATCAATGTGTAACTGCTTTTGGACGAGAAATGGGATGGGTCTGCTTTCATAATGAGTTTGAATTAGTCTCCAGATATTTGTCAAATATTTCTGCTGCTCTCTCTGCCACTGGGACTGTAAAACAGTTTCATATACATATTTTAGCTGAAAAGTTAGATCTCACATCCAAGATGTGATTTTACTTTTCAGCTAAAATATGTATATGAAACTGTTTTACAGTTTTACAGAGTGTTTTACATTCTTGGATGTGAGATATCTGAGATGTTAGATTCTACAGAATTAAAAGAGCAGACAACAGGTGACAGACACAATCTGCTCATGTATGTCTTTTTCTTTTTAATGCTCAGCTAATCAAGAAATGAAATCAAGGATTCTGGTAAGAACTACTCTCAGTTTTCTTTGAGTCTTGAAAACCAGTGATATTATTCAGGCTAACAAGTTTGAATTGCTTTTTTAGGTCATAAAAGCAGCAGAAGACAGTGCATTGCAGTACATGAATTTCATGAATGTCATCTTTGCAGCACAGAAACAGGTGAAGCTGGCACTTTTTTCATAGATACTGTCTTTTATTAATGCACAAAGAGAACAAAATTGTTCGTTTCTCTTACAATTCTGTTCTGATCAAGTGAAAGAGCTTCCAGATGGCTGTGGTGGTCCTGCAGCTGAACAAGCACGTGCATTTATAGTGGAGACAGATGAGAACACCTTGGTCCCAGCTGTGTTTGTTTTTCATGCATTTCTTCTCTTTCCTTGCAGAGTATTTTGATTGATGCCTGTGTCTTGGACTCTGATTCAGGTCTCCTACAACAGGTACAAAATTCCTATTCTTATTTGTTGTTGACCTTCATTCTTATATAACTTGGTGCTCTGTAGTTTAACATTCTCAAGCTCTCTTCTTTCCTTTGTATCAAGAGTGGGTGTGAAAGTACGTACAGTGGATCTGACTGTTCCAACATGCAGGCCTTGAGCAGGATGTGGATGTTCTAAATATCCTGTTAATCACACAAAACACAACAATCTGATCATGTTTTCTGCTTTCCAGGCTTGTGACATCACAGGTGGGATCTATTTGAAAGTGCCCCACATGCCATCCCTTCTGCAGTATTTGTTGGTAAGTCATTTTAAAAAAACACATCACTGGTTTTGCTGTGTCAGATGTGGAATCTTACTGACTTCACTGCCAGCACTGCCATTCCAGTTTGCAAAGTGCTTCTTCTCTATTCATGCAGTGGGTGTTTCTCCCTGATCAAGAGCAAAGATCACAGCTTGTCCTTCCACCTCCAGTTCATGTTGACTACAGAGCTGCCTGCTTCTGTCATCGCAATCTCATCGAAATTGGTTATGTGTGCTCAGTGTGCCTGTCAAGTGAGTTTATACATATTTATAGAGTCTGCTCTCCTACATTCAAATGAACTGTTTTAGTGAAAGCCAATTCTTTTTATTTTCCAGTATTCTGCAACTTCAGCCCTATTTGTAGTACCTGCGAGTAAGTGTTTCTTCTTCTTCCAGGGGTGGGTGTGGAAATATGTTCAGTGTATCTGACAGTTTCTTGTCTTATGTTGTTTCAGGACTGCTTTCAAAATATCTTTGCCACCTGTCATGAAAGCCAAGAAGAAGAAGTTGAAGTTAGCTGCCTAACAATATTATGTAAATACATCCTTACTTCCTTCAGTAATTCCATGAAATGGAATATATGTGAGAAATTGATGGCACTTTTCAGTGGGTATGAAAGAGGATTGTATATGCAGGGTTACTACTTGTTTTTTAGGGGATAAATATTTAAAGTGTATGTTTTCTACACAGCCCTTTAAGTAACAAATCACTGTATTACCATGTAACCTGTGCTGTTTTAAATGCTAATTCTTAATTTCAGAAGTTACAGCCTGTTAAGAGACAGGCCTTGTGCAGTAGAAGGTATTCTGGCCACTGCAAGATTTCACACCTCCAAGTTATTTTCAAAGGCAAGGAAGCTCTGGATCTATTTTGTTGGTGTAAAGGTGAGAATGAGCATTTCTGGTGTGTAGGATCAGAACCTTAGCACTAGATTAGTTGGACTCCAAATTCTTGCTAGATTTTGCTAGCAATTTTTGGACTGAAACAGCATCAGTTTCACAATAGAGGAGCCAACATTTTGGAAGATGGCTTCAAACCCACCTGTTTGGATATCTCTTCATCTGTGAATAGAAATGCCCCACTTTTGAGAAGATACCTTCAATAAATGCAAAGTAACTGGTTATGCTGTAAGGTTGTATTTTGAAACTGGAACACGACAGAGTGCTGTGTGCTATGACAGCAGGGACTGTCCTGTGGTCAGGATGTGGTTTTATATCTGGGATCTGACAAGTGAGAAGGAAGGCCTTTGGGCTGATGTGCCCTGGGTTGGAACGTGAGGGTGGATGTGCTGTGGAGTTCTGAGCATCGTTTTGGTTTAAACAAACAAAATAATAACCTCCCACCTGTAAAAGGTGACTGTATAATTTGGTATTTTTACCGATTGCTGGAACTTGATGTTGTCCTGAAAGGAACACAGAGTAATGGGTTCCTGTGTAGAAAAAGGCTGCATTTTCCTAAGGTGTGGGCAGGAATTTGTCACGTGTTGATCAGGGTTCTGTCAATCAGTCTTGACCCACTTTTTTTAAAGGCTGTATTTATACTTCGTATAAAACATTTGTAATAAAACCTCTTCTTTTCCAAACGTGGTTACAATTCCCTATAACAGCAGTTGTTTTAAGGGCCGTGTGGGCAGAGTGTGACACGGTGAGATCTGGGCGGGGACCGGTGGGTCGGTGGGCCGGGCCGGTGCCGGTGGGTCAGGCCGGTGGGTCAGGCCGGTGGGTC